AGTAAATCATCTATCTTAACAGAGGCAATGAAGGTCACAGGCCTACAAGGCACCAATCTTTCAGCTAGTTCAATGCAAGCCTAAAAAGACCTAACATTTGAAAGATCTACTCAACAGAAAGCAACATGACTGTGGCTTGGGGGAATGTGATTGAGATATAGCAAATATTTATATTGTGAATGATAACCACAGTGTAATGCAATTGGGGACTGTACATCGGCTAAGGAGCCTTTTGGCTATGAGGCATAAGTCTGAATTCCAGTCCAGCTCAGTAGGGACAGAAATTGTCACGTGACAGCTTTGTTACATGGTCCTTGGGAAATGAGTTCTGGAGTCTCAGTCCCTTTCCTGGTGGATGGGCCAACACCCAAATCATACATGCAGCATCAAATTGGAACTGATCCACCCTCTTGCTGGCAAACCCCGAATGGGCAATGGAGACTTAACAACCTTCTCACCCTCATATAGGCCATGGATGCACATTGTGCAGAGTTTGCACTTGTGCTGTGTTTCTTCTATGGCTCACTAAAGACCTGACCCTCACTATCTAGTGTAATTTGGGGTGGCAGTGGGAGAGGATGGCAGAAGTGTTCATGGATTGGATGGAATCTCTAGGATGTTTCCATTTCCTTACACAGACTTTACATTGATATATACAATGTGTAGATGCTTTAATCTGCAGGGAATTATTGCCGGAATTTCAATATTCTGGAAGAGAAAGAACAAAGACTATGTTCTTTGTGTAGCCTGTTGCTTTGCAAATCAGCCTGTGAGCCAGCAGGTTGTCATGTTAGCATACGACACTAAGACCTTGTTAGGCAGTATAATAGAAAAGCTCTCCTGAGGGGAAATCAGAATTTTATAAGCAGCACATGTCCACTTGGGGAATAAAGGTGGCAGGGAAATTTGTATTTTTCTTCAGGAAGAGGATTGCAGTTACTCTCTGATTTCTTCTAACCCATGGAGTCATTTGGTGTAAAATATTTCTGCAGGTGTGAACAGAAAGTTCTGATATGATCATATTTAGACACCCTTTACATAAGTGTAAATGACAACCCAAGATGACTAAAAGGTGGCCCTTAGGGTTAATATTGGGTGATAGTTCACTGCCACCTTCTCAGAGTATAACTAGAGATTAATTCAGTGGGGTCTCCTACGCATTTAGATCTTTGTGGCAGACATTTGTTTGCTATTATACAGGGGCATATATGCTTATTGAGCAGGGTAGGCCTTCCTCTTTCCTCATGTTTTGATAAATAGTTTACCAAGAGGGATGTTTTAGTTTGATTATCTATACACAGTAACTCCTCACTTGATGTTGTAGTTATGTTCCTGAAAATCCTGTACGTCCTGTATGTGACTTTAAAGCTGAAAAATGTGACTGAAGTAAAACAATGTTAAACAAATCCATTGGAACAATACTAAGCAGGAGGACGTTAATTAAGGAGTTGCTGTAGGAACTTACGGTATGTCTGCACTGCCTTGTGAGCCTGCATCTGTGGGATCCAGGCTGGTGGACTCTCTGTTTCCAAGGCCAGGCTTTAGCATCCACATGGCATTATAATTGGAAAGTACAGTTGCTTGACCCGAGTGTCTTGGCCATGCTAACATGTTGTGATGCACTAAGTCCTGCTGACTTGTGTCTGCAACTTGAGCTGCATCCACCCTATACAGGGACAGGGCTTGGATCTGAGCCACAGCTGGACTCAAGCTTTGACCCTTCTCCCCAGCAGAATCCTAGCATTTGGGTCCTGAGTGCTCGCTGAATCAAGTCAGATTTGTGTGTGGACAGAAGAAGGACTTGGATTCAAACCTGAGTCAGAGTCTGGGCTTAGTGTGGCGTGCAGGCATATTCTGCTTCCAGGAACTCTTTGTAAGAGAACACATATATGTTGTTCTGTCTTAATTCTCTTTGTTATGGAACCCTGACACCTCATATCTCTGCTCCTCTAGCAGCAGCCTTTTCTTTTCATACTAGCCAATTAGCCTGTCATAAGATGGGATTTTCAGGTCTCTCCTCCACTTCCTATTCCCTTTCTATCTCTGTCTTCTCTCCTTGCCCCCCCTCCTCAGCTGGGTGTCTCCTTACCCCCCTCAACTCTCCTCCATCTCCTGCCTCTCTCTCCATCTCTCTTTCTTTTCTCCCCCTCCTGTTTCTCTCTCTCTTTCTCTTCTCCTCCTCCTCCTGCATGGGGAGCATGGAGCCCAAACAGCTGTTTGTGCCGCTTGCCCCCACACGGCAGCCCAGCTGAGTGGCTGCCTATGAGCTCCAGCTGCCCCCCTGCACCATTTCCCTTCACTCCAGCACTGATCCTGCAGCCTTCCAGTTGTCCTCCACCTCCCCCTCATTCTCCTGCCTTCCCTTCTGGCCGAGCTCAGTGCCCAGCCCCCACTCACAAGTGCCAACTGGAGGAATGAGCAGGGGGCAGCCATGGAGCAGGCGGCTAGAGAGAAGCGACACTTTCCCCTTAAAAGCGCCACTTCTCTCCAGCTGGCTGTGCAGCTGCTTGTGCTCCTCCAGCCTGCGCCAGGTTGGACCAGACGTCAGCACAGTAAGGGCATGATGGAGGCTCCAGGACCCGCCCTCTGGCTGTGTACGTCAGCACCCCACCCCACTTCACCTCCCGCCGTGGTGCTCGGCTGACTTCTGCACCCCTCAGCTGGGCCGCCGTGTCGGACCAAGCAGCACGAGCGTTTGTTTGAGGTCCACGCTCCCCATGCAGCATGGCAAACATGGGTTACAATGCACAGGGGTGCTTCGTAGGGAGCGTGGGGCCCAAATGGCCGCTTGCACCGCTTGCTCCCGTGCAGCGGCCCGGCTGAGCAGCACAGAAGTCAGCCGAGCGCCACGGTGGGAGGTGAAGGGGGGCGGGGCAGTGACATACACGCCCAGGGGACGTGGCCTGGATGAGCGTGCATCCCCAACGGAGACAGAGGAGAGTGGAGAGAGAGTGAGAGGCAGGAGGGGGAGAAGAGAAAGAGAGAGACTTCAATGTAAAGAGGCCGTCTTCGAAAGAGAGTATATCCAGACTCGCTGAGTGCTCTCTTTCGAAAAAGCGGATTTCTCTTTCGAAAGAAGCCTGCTGTCTAGACATAGCGAAAGAAAGAAAGAAAGAAAGAAAGAAAGAAAGAAAGAAAGAAAGAAAGAAAGAAAGAAAGAAAGAAAGAAAGAAAGAAAGAAAGAAAGAAAGAAAGAAAGAAAGAAAGAAAGAAAGAAAGAAAGAAAGAAAGAAAGAAAGAAAGAAAGAAAGAAAGAAAGAAAGAAAGAAAGAAAGAAAGAAAGAAAGAAAGAAAGAAAGAAAGAAAGAAAGAAAGAAAGAAAGAAAGAAAGAAAGAAAGAAAGAAAGAAAGAAAGAAAGAAAGAAAGAAAGAAAGAAAGAAAGAAAGAAAGAAAGAAAGAAAGAAAGAAAGAAAGAAAGAAAGAAAGAAAGAAAGAAAGAAAGAAAGAAAGAAAGAAAGAAAGAAAGAAAGAAAGAAAGAAAGAAAGAAAGAAAGAAAGAAAGAAAGAAAGAAAGAAAGAAAGAAAGAAAGAAAGAAAGAAAGAAAGAAAGAAAGAAAGAAAGAAAGAAAGAAAGAAAGAAAGAAAGAAAGAAAGAAAGAAAGAAAGAAAGAAAGAGGGGAAAAGACAAGTCAGATGTTTTCTTTGTCTTGAGCTATCCAGAGCCCTGCTGGAAAATAGTCTTGCTTATCTATTAGCCACAGTTTCCCTGGAATGATTGTCCTGTATTGCCTAACCATTTTTCCATTGCCTTTCTTGCTCCATATACCATATTCTGTTATCCTTCATTCCCAATGATTGCAAATGTCTTGATTCATGTCCAGATTAAACAATCCACTCTAATTAGGGCTATTTTTCACAGACTCCACTTGTTCAATTAACTTAGAATAGTGGGTTTAACATTGCAGTGCCTCTCCCCCCACTGTGTAATTTAGAATCCCGTAGCCAGCTGTGACCAGTATCTTATATTTTAAAAACAAATCAATCTCCTGGTATGAACCTAGATGTAATTGGAAGGATGGTGTCAGGAATTCCTCCTTTACCCCTACAGGTGATTAATTATATGCTCCATAGTACAGAATTAAGTTTGCCTTTATTAGGATTTCACCGTGACATTATCCTGTCACAGTATTTAACTTCTATGTCACTTGGCAGTGAGTTCCACCGGTTAGCCATATTCTGTTCAGCACATTAGTAAGAGTGTAGAAATGGAAGAGACAAACCTATTAGGTTTTCTCACTACTGTAGGATTTCCACCTAGTCCTACGTTGACCTTTGTGTAGCTCTGAATGTGCTATGTATACAGACACAAAGTGGGTGAAGTAATAGCTTTTATTGTTGGTGAGAGAGACCAAAAGAAAGTGGTTCAGAAATAGATATTAGTGAGACAAGGTGGGTGAGGCAATAGCTTAAAACAAATACAGCTACACTGCATGCAAGTATATAAAGTATTTTATTGGTTCTGAATTTGTGCATCAATATCCATATAAATTGAGATTAATCAGGAACCCTCTAAGACAAGTCTTTCTCTTTCCATTCTTAATAACGGTGAGTTGCAGAACCCCATCATTTTGAAAAACACCAACCCTCTTTGTTACGAAAGCCAATAAGCTTTTGAATTTACTGTCACGGGAAAACTGGGCTAGGGAGACCACTAATAAGTAAAGAGAAGGACTTTGTGAGATTGTGGGAAATCTGTGGGTGTGTCTACTCTACTTTTGTCGACAAAATTAAACCTGCGTCCACACTGCCTTTGAGTTATGTCGACATAACGTCGACAAAACTCAGCAGTTTTGTCGTCATATGTAAACCTCATTCTACGAGAATAACTCCTTTGTTGATGTAGTTCTGTCGACAAAACAGCAGTGTGAACACAGGGGGAAAGTTATGTCGACATAAAAGGCCTCCAGGGAGAACCCCTGGTGGACTCTCCTGCCACAGCTTGCAACTCTATTGTTCCTGCCTGTAGCCATCTTTAAAAGGCATAGGCACCCAGGAGCAGCACTCTGGCAGCAAGCCAGCTCCAGAGCAGACCAGGACTGTGCTGCTCAGTTCTGGGTGAGCCATGTCACAAGGGACAAGCCCCCCAAGACCGCTCTGGCCCTTCCAGGGAATCATCCCCCCGGGAACCCCGGGGCTTCAAGCGCCGGGCACCCTCCTGGTCAGGGCCGGAGATAAAAGCCCTCCTGGGCCTCTGGGCTGAGGAGGACTCCTTACAGGCCATGCACTCCACGAAGAGGCGGAATGCAGACACCTTTGCCCGAATGGCAGAAGAGCTGGCCAAACAAGGCCACCGCCCCCGCACACTGGAGCAGGTCCGAGCCAAAGTGAAGGAGCTGAGGCAGGGGTACGTCTGGGCCCATGAGCAGAGCTCCCGCTCCGGGGAAAGGCCGCACTCCTGTGAGTACTATGAGGACCTGGACAGGGTCCTGGGGGCAAGCGATCCTCTGCCTCCTGAGAGGCTCGTGGAGTCCGGGCTGGATACCCCGGTTCTACAGCGGCCGGAACACCTGCTGGGGGACCAGGAGCTCCAGGAGGAGGAAGAAGAAGAGGAGGTCGGCACCCAGAGGACCCAGGAGCCAGGCACCCAGACACAGGAGGCCTCCCAGACCACCTTGGACACTGGGGAGGAAACATCAGGTGAGTGCTGTGAGGGTCCAACACACACAGGGCAGGCGGGAGCAAAGAGGACGATGCAGTGCTGTGACATGTCATGCTGAGCACGGCCCAGGGGAGGGAGGCGGCACACCCATGGCCGCCCTCAGGAAGGGCTGTGTTACCCCCCTGCACCCACACGGCTGTTAGGCACCGCTTGTTCCTCTGGGCGGGAGACGCTGGGACAGCCTCACAGCTGCAGGCCTCTCAGCACTCTGTGGGAAGCCCAACCATGGCCCTACACTTCGCCGTGCTGCTCAGCCATGGAGGATGCGTGAGGGGGGGCACGACAGTGGTGTGCACACCGCCTGGGCTCCAGGGAGGCCGTGGCTGCGGGCCAGGCCGCACCATGCCTTACTGAGATGCACATGAGCAGCCTCTGACCCTAACACAGGCACTGCCTGATGAGAAGAAGGAGGGCAGGCCCTCTCAGGGAAAGGGTGACCATGCATGACTGACGACTTTTCCCTCTTGTCCTCCACAGCCGGACCAGCTTACCAGGAGGGGGACGCCCCACCTGCCCCACCACCCAGACGGCCGCAGGGCACCCGTAGGCACTGGCGCAGCTATTTAGAGCTGGTGCGCCAGCACGTTGGAGTCCTGCAAGAGATGAAGGACTCCACAGAAAGGAGGCTGAAGACAGAGGCTGAGTGGTACCGGCAATTGCTGCTCGAATTTGCCCAGCAGCGCAGGGACATCTGTGCTGCCATCCGGGAGGCCATGGCCTTCCCCGGTCCTTTGCCTGTTCCTGCCCCTCCTCCTCAGCCTGCCCCCTCCTCAACTCTTGCGCCCTCCTCTGCCCCTGCCATCCCAGCCCCAGCCCCAGCTCCACCTCCTGCTCAGCCCCCTTCTGTGGCATCCCGCACGCGCAGCCGGGTGCGACAAGGCCGCCAGAGCCAAAGCAGCAGGAGCTTGGCCTCCAGGATGCCCCCTCAGCCCTGAGCCCCCATCTCCCCTTCCAGGTTCACATTCCCCTTCCCACCAGTGACACAAAATGAGGGATGCATTTTTTTAAAGCACTTTATTTTCTAAAACAGACATTTTTATTTTTCTCTGAATCAAAGAGTTATTTATTTTCATTTGTTAAAAAAACAACAGTTAAATAAAGCATACTAGAGTTTTCACCATCACCTGTCTCCATTCTCAGTTAGTGGGGACTGAGTAGAATGGGTGAATGTGGGGCTGGGAGGGGTTGCAGGGAGGAAGTCACCAGGGGTACGGGGCAATCCCACATGTGGAAGACAATCAGGGGCCTTCTTGTGTGAATTGCTCCCTCGGGGCTTCCCGAATGCGCAGGCCCAGCTGGTGGGCTTGCCGGGTGGCAGCTGTCCGGGGCCGCCCAAACTGCCTCCCTTCCATCTCCGTCTGTGTCCTCCACGCTGGGAGGAAGGCCTCCCCTTTCCTCTCTGCGAGGTTGTGCAGCACACAGCATGCTGCAACCGCATCGAGGATGTTGAGTTCCCCCATGTCCAGCCGCGTCAGCAGGGCACCTAAACCTGCCCTTCAGATGGCCGAAGGCGCACTCCACCTGGAAGCGAGCCCTATTGAGGTGGGAGTCAAACAGTTCGCTGCTCGCATCCAAGTGGCCGGTGTAGGGCTTCATGAGCCAGGGCATGAGAGGATAGGCCGTGTCGGCCACTATGCACGTAGGCATCTGCACATCCCCGACTGCCAGGTTCCTCTCTGGGAAGAATGCCCCAGCCTGCAGCCTGCGGTACAGGTATGAGTTCTTGAACACACGGGCATCATGTGCCTGGCCTGACCACCCGACACAAACATCAGTGAACTGACCCCTGTGGTCTACCAGAGCCTGCAGCACCATAGAGAAGTAGCCCTTCCTGTTGATGTACTGTGCTGCTCGATGGGGCGGGGCATGGATGGGGATGTGGGTCCTGTCCAGAGCTCCACCGCAATTTGGGAACCCCAGCCCCACAAATCTGGCCAGGATGGTCTGCAGGTCTCCGAGGCATACGGTCCTGTGGAGCAGCTCCGCATTGATGGCCGTCACCACCTGCAGAATGTGATAAATAGAAACACACAGAACAGGACTTTAGAGCGGTTGGCCTGATGAGAAGTGCTACCCCCTATGTCCCCCAGACACCAACAGCTCCCCCCTCAGATAATCCCTTCCCCACCCCCCAATCCCCGCACCATGGTAGGGTGAGGCTGAGAGGGCTTCTACCTCTGCCACCCCATCCCCAGTTCCCTGTGCCTGGTCCTGACCTCCCCTCTGGACTGTCCCCTGAGAGTGACTTACCTCCATCAAGACAGCCCTGACGGTCGACTTCCCCGCACCAAACTGATGCCCCACAGAGCGGTAGCTGTCGGGGGTGGCCAGTTTCCAGAGCGCAATGGCGATGCTCTTCTCCAGGGGGATGGCAGGCCACAATTGGGTGTCCTGTTATTGCAGGGACGAGCCAGGTACAGAGCTCCCGGAAGGTGGCCTTCTACATCCGGAAGTTTCTGAGCCACTGATCATCGTCCCACTGCTGCAGCACTAGCCAGTCCCACCAGTCCGCACTGGTGTCCAGCCTCCAAACCCGCCTCTCCGGGAAAAAGTTGGGGGGGCAAGGGCAGCAGGGCTGCAGCTGGATCCTGAGCGAGGGGCTCAAAGCTGGCCTCAGGATCCAGCTCTTCTGCAAAGGTCAGCATGCTCTCCTGAGCATGAAGCAGAGCTTCCAGCAGCATGGTGTGGGGCCATCGCCTGCCCAGGG